GTGTGCTTCTTTGGTGTTATTCTTCAACATCGGGGAGCAAGAACTCGTCACCGGTCAACAGCGGTAACATCAAGATCAGGGCTACCATCTTCAGCTACTTCCAAGCACCAGATCACAGGGAGTGACCGACAGTACCTCAACCAATCAGGAGAGGAAAACGCTGGTCACATGACATGACGGCCTCCCACAGAGGTACTTTGGATTAGGCAGAGGGGAGTGAAGGGAGTGGAGGGGGTCTGGGGGTAGGAAGAACACAGAATGAATCAGACATTATGACCCTGTGGGCATATATGACTACACAACTGGTGGGATTCTACATCAGGCACAACCAGAAGAATGGGAAGCGGCACTCCATTTATGTATGATATTTATGTATGGGAGGGAGACCCAGCCACGGCACTGATGGTGACTAGTAACGCAGCTTCCCCGTCAGCACGCCTGGCCAGAAGAGCTGATGGAAACACCAAGGCGCTGAGCCGGCAGGTGGCGCCTGGCGGGGCCTGTGGCAAGGAGTCCTCCTCTAGCCCCAGGTGCCCACCTGGGCCAGGAGCGGAAGACAGAGGTGCTAGAGGCTGCTCTGGAGGCACAGGCTGGTCAGAGCAGGGCTCTGACAGTAGCACAGGAGTTTGTAAGAGAGAGTGGAGGAGGAGGCTCCGGACAGAGGGGACATGTGAGAACGTGATGATTCGGAATGCTGACATTCGCGGAGCAGCTCCGGTGGACCAGGCCTGGGCCTCGGGACTCTCCGCTGCCCCATGGAGTCCCCTCAACCCTCCGCGGAACTGCGGTCATTTCACAGATGAGCAGACCAAAGCACTCGAAGTCCATGTGACCTTCTCAAAGCCACAGAGCCAGCAGGCAGCAAAGAAACTTGACCCATGGTTCCGAGTGACGGCACTCCACTGCTCCTAGGAGGAAGTCCACTGAGACAAGAAACAAAAGAGACAAAGAAACCCATGATGGGGGGACAGCACAGGCAGCTGGGTCTCCCCAAGGCACAGAGTCTGGATGGCCAGGGTCAGAACCTTCCAGGAAGAAGACACGTGGCTCAGGATGGGCCCGCCATGGGGGCTGGCGAGAAGTCGCTGCCCACACGGCTTCCCCAGGTTGAGAACTAGGCAGGCAGGGTCGCGTGATGTCTGCTGAGACGAGCCAGGGCCAGGCTGCCGAGACTCCTGGCCTGGGAGTGAGGCAGAACTCAGTGGAGAGCCACGGATGACTCACGTGCAAGGAGGGGGACGCTCTCCCCGGGTCCCAGGAAGATGGCACTCTGGGCCACGGTGAGAATGAACGGGAGCGGCGGGAACTCTGATGGAAACGTGGGCCTGAAGGACACCTTGTGATCGGGTCTGATGCGAGCCACAGGAGGCTCAGGCATGGCGTGATCCATGTTCTGGAAGACTCTGAGCGTTTGGCTTGTTTTTCTGCTGTGCTGGGGATGGAATCCAGGCCTAGTACTAGGCAAACTCTCTACTGCCAAGAAGTATACAAGACTCGTAGACTTCTTTTCTGAAGATTTGCACCATCACAGAGAGGGCTCCCCCAAACACATGCTCCTCAACTCACCCCTCTAGCCTGCCCCACCTTTGTGTTCTTTCTTCCTTCTCACTCAGTTCTCCCCAACATCCCCAGCAGCCTCAGATGCCTCGCCAGCCCCCTCACAGCAGGTGGTGACCATGTTTAGCTGCTTACGGCTTGCTCTCCACCATGAGGTGTTGGTGGGGCACTTCTGCCCCTTGGGAGGACATTTGGTGGCATGCCAGTGGAAGAAATCCCCCTTCAGGGGAGCTGACTTTCTGCACCCACTGCACAAGCCAGGATGAGTGTCTCCAGGGATGTCTCTAATCCCTCCACCAGAACCTCCTGATTCTGGGTCCCTCTGCATTGGCATCTGGTCCTGTGTCTCTCAGCATGAATCCTCTATTTTAAATGCACCTCATCTACTCCATAGATTGTAAGCGGTAGAAGACTGAGCCCGCCAATTCCTTTCATTTATTTTGCAATTCTATGACCAAAGAAGTGTTCACAGGAGACATTCAGTGACAACACAGAGGGCAGGTCCCAAAGGGTGCGTTTCTGCAGATTTCCATCTTCAGGACGATATGTGTCTTCATGTAGGGGCTGAAGGGTCAAAGTGGACAACGAATGGCTGCATCTCCAGCTCTCGCTTGGGGTACAGGGTTGGGGGACCTGACTTGTGAGCCTTTGTTACTAAGACAGAGGCTGTAGGTGGCAGTCGTCTCCATGACAACCACACACTCAGTTCCCCGTGCACCAAGGAGGAGCAGTTGGGGAAGACAGGCTTTCCCAATTTTTCCAGGGATATCCATGGATCTGGACCAGAGGGACCTAAAAGCACTCCAGGGGACACCATCTAAGCAAGGAAAGTGTGCCCCACACTGGAGGAGGCTCCATTGTGGGGTGGGATGGTGGACAACGGACTTCCATGTTGGCCCCCAGACAGAGCCTGTGCACCTGTGTGTGAGACCCCTGCCACCTCAGAAATAACTGCTGTCACATCAGGGTGGCTCTAGGTGAGTAAAGCCAAAGACTCAGGTTACAGATGTGACCCTAAACATAAACCCACCAAAGATCCAGAGAGTGCCTCTGCTGACAAGAACCGGAACCACAGGGGGCTTCCTTCCACTGGCGTGCAACCAGAACGTTCCAGTCACCCGCTCAGAAATGGCAGCTCACGTAACTCCGGAGAACCAAATCCCTTCAAAAATGATTCGGACTCAGTGAAAGAATTTTATTTTTTCCACTCTCAGTAGAATAGCAAAAGGAACACACGACAGACAATTCCTCTGTTATTTATTAACAGTCATTTGGATCCAACCACAGAGTTCTCCAGTTGTGCCTAAGACCACAGAACACACTGATCATACACGAGGATGTAGCACCTTTGAATGAGGAAGGAATTTCCATACGTGTGCTGTTTTCAGGAGCTACACTGGAAACGATTTCGCATAAGCAAAAATCACGTCGAGCAGCTGTGCAGAAACGTCCAGCAGACGAGACGCAGTGGAAACCATATGAATAAGTCCTCTAGGGGGTGACCAGCAAATAGGTTGCGCTGACCTGCACCTCTGGGAGTTCTGACTTAATTTACTGATTTCACTCAAATTCCCCACCTGAATTGAGGGACCGGCTCCCTGAGCCACTCTTTGGCCTGCACAGTCTGTGTTTGCCATTGTGTTCTTTTTTCCAACCAGCATGGAGAGGATTGACCTTCCTGGGAGTCAGAAACAGCAGGTATTCAAGTTGCCATGGTGACATGCAAGTGACATTCTCTAAGGGAGAAATTTTGAACTTTCTATTCATTGACCATTTTTATCATGTAAATTTTGTCCCATCCACTTCCCTCACCGAACTGATAGACCCTCTGGAAGAGGATTCCCTTTCAGGCCGGTACTGGGGTTGAGTAAAAAGTCACCTTCTATTTGAATTCATTCCCTGAAAACCTTCTAAAGGTGGTGAATAGTCATTTTAAATATTGCCCATACAAAATGAAACTCAACTTTTTTTGGTCAATGCTTTGTGGTTTCTCTAATTAGCTGTTCATTGAATAGCTGCCTTCTAGGATTCCCTTCTTCAGCCATGGCATTTATAGTCTATTCAAAGCTGAAAAGCCAGTTATGGCATTTCAATTGCCTTGATACACCTCCAGTGCTTCTCTTTGGAGCTCAGATACCACCACTTTCAGAAAAAGAGAGGACTAAGTGTGCTCAGAAGGGAATCCTCAACTCTATGCCAGTGCCCTCACCACCCATAATGTTTAAATAAGCATAGGAGCCTCTTCCTAAACTAAGGATTAAATGTAATATTTTAATAGCTGTAGCTTCATGTGTCTCACATCATATACTCAAGTTAACAATTCCTATTTGCTATACATTTATGAGAAAGCCTTGGAAGTGGTTTGATCATCACTATAGATATTCCTTGAAATCTAAGCCCTGGGGAATTGGCCCAATGCAGAAAAAGATTCATGCACAAAAATGTTCATCCCGATGGCCAACTGGAAACAGCCTTCAATGACCAACAGTAGAGGCATCTCTAGAGGTGGAAGATCATGGAATTACTGACACAACATTGAAGAATACCATGAATACAAAGAAAACATCTTTGATGAAATATTAGGTGGAAAAGCTTTTACAGAACCATATAGGCAAGATAATGACATTACTTAACATTTTGAAAGGGAAATAAAATGTGCTTAGAAAGAAACTGGACTTGGAGAAACTCCCACAGACATGAGCGGTGACGACCTTTAGGTGTGGTGTTCTTTCTACATCTCTGTGTGGTCTAAAGTTTCTATCCAGGTATTATGTTTAATGAAAAAATAACAAACCAGAGGAGCAGGAGGAGCACCCAGAGAGATCATAGAGCCTCTGGAGGGTCCTGACCATGTGAACAGTCCAGTGACTGTTCACATGGTCAGGAGCAGTGCGGCCCTCAGCAGCAGCACCCCCGCCAGGTGGAGAGGGACCCACCCCTGGGCCCCTGTCCTAGGGCTGAGAAGCTGGAGGAGGAGTGAAAAGAGCCCCCCCTGAGCACAGTGGGGTCCTCTTGCTACAGCACATTTTAGAATCTGACCTGATTTGGGAGACTTTTGACAATAGGTCGAGAAATGGGTCCCACAATACAAAAAAGGAAACGGTAAGGACTCAACTGGAAATAAACAAGAAAACCACCCGGAGTCAGGCAGCCGGGCTGTTTTGTGCACGGGGACGCTCTCCTAGTAGGCTTGTGGTCAAGAGTCAGAAAGGCGAGGGAAAGAGGACGAGTCCAGAACTCGCAGACTCTTCTGCAGGAGGCTCGGGACACAGAGCAGGGGCACCCGAGGCAGACGCACTTGGAGGAGTCTCTCCCCTTTCATCGGCTTCATGTTGCTTCTCAGGTCCCGGCACCCTGGGGTGACGAAGAACCACCCGCTCTGTGTCCAGGAACCTGGGAACTCTCATGGAGCAGCCAATAGCAGGATGGTGACCAGCTTCCCTTGCACCTGCCTGGCTGGAGGGTGGCGTCACCTGTGAAAACAAAGGCACAGCCCAGGTGGGAAGAGGCCCGCTCGGCTCCCATGCAGCCGGGCTTGCTCCGTGGGGGTTTCTTTTGGTGTTGAAGTGGCTCCAAGAAGGTTTCTTTCTGAAGGATGTGTGCTCTGGCCAGGGCCGGGGTGAACTCGAGAGTTAGGTAGGATGCCCAGGCTCCACTCATGCAGCGAGGTCAAGACCCCGCAAGTCTCTGAGCGCGTTCTTCACTCAGTGGTTTCTGCACAAGGAAAACAGGGAGTTGATAGTGAAGCGAAGCCCTGGAGAACCCGCCCAAATGCAGCTCTAGAAGACTCCCAGGACAACTTCAGGTCCTCTGGCTGTCGGAAGGCCAGCGCTGTGTGGGGAGAGGCCGTCTCAGGGAGCCCTTCCCCGGCTCCTGCAGACGCCCGCTGCTCGGGTACAAAGCGGGTGGAGCATGGCCACCCCTCACCCTGGACTTCCTTCTAACCACAGTGTGAAACACACAGCCCTCTGTTTCTTCCCTCCCAAGAGATGGTGAAAGGCTGATTTGGGGATAGAGATGGGAGAACTGGGAAAGGCCTGTCCCAGGTCAGCTCCGCCCTGCCTGGACCTGTGCCAGCTCACGGTCTCCTGAGCTGAGCTTCGGTTCCCTTGACTGAGGCCCAGGGAAAGGCGGCCACCTGACCCCTCAGAGACAGAGGCATCAGGAGGCACCTCAAGAGGAACATTTTAACCACCTGTAGCTGGATGCCTGTGAAATCAAATTTTCAGCAAAATTCTTAAGGATACAACAGACAGAAAATGTCCAGAAAAATTATCTTATACCAGAGGTAAAAAGTACACAAAAATTAGATGCGCCAAAGTCACTGTTCCCAAAGATGTCAGTGGCTGAGGGTGGGTGGGACACCTCTCTCTACCTGTTCTCCCGCACGCTGTCTTACCCTCGTCTGTCTTTCATAGATGTGTGCTCACACACACCGGCACACAGCAACCAGGTGACGCCATCCCAGTTCATCTCTGCTCACCATTTAATTAACTCTCCACATACTACTGAAGGTCTATGGCCGAGCAGAGGGCAGTGGACAGGGATGAAGCCCATCTATCGCCCACTCACCACAGCCAGAGCTTCCAGAGGTGGATGCAGGTCTGAACTTGAGCCTTTCCTGGTTATTACGACTCCTTAATCACCACTAGATTGTTAAAAACCATCCTGAATTGCTTTATCTGTTCATGATTGGGTTTTATCCCCTATCTTTTAGACCATAAAACAAAATGGCACGTTTTCAGAATCCAAGTTATGATTTATTATCAGGTTGACTATTATTTTCATTGAACACTGCGTGAACAGTTGAAATGTTATTCCTGAATATGCAAGGCTTGTTTCCTTCATTTATATTGTCTTATTTCATTTTTCAGTGCAGGGCATGGACCCAGGGCCTCTTCCATGGTGGGCAGATGTGCTCCCACTGGGCTACCCCCCAGCCCCCGCAGCTTGGTTCCTGAGCGCTCCAGATGTCCCTGCCTTTCAGACTATGTCAGATACGCCTCCCTTTCTAACACAGCTCTCCACAATGAAGGGCTTTTAACGTGAGTGTAAGTGTCGGCACTCAAGGGAAAGAACTGAGTGACCAGAAGGACGGCAAGGAACACAATGCCCCACGATGTCCCCCGGAGCACAGCCACTCCACAGATGGAAAAGCTGTGGTCTGAGTGCTTAATGCACAGCCCTCAGTGCGAGGGTCAGTGCGGGTGACCACACAGCTCCGGGCGCCCAGCCGCCACTCGCTGAGTAATAATGGCGGTGGGGTTGGGGGGTGTTCTTTGTTTCCATTCTCTGAAATGTCATAAGCCCACAGCTGTTTTGCCCTCGTCCCACGTCCTTTAACATTTGGTCCCAGGGTTTGGACAGGTAACAAGAAACATACTTAGAGAACATGGTAAGACCCTGGAGCAAAGCCGTGAGCTCTGTCTTTCCAGTTACCCTAATCACATCCTCACGGTGCAGAGGAGCTATTGCTAAAACCCCTGACTACTGCACTAAAGCACTTTGAGCTAGAAAACACCATCACCCTCCATTTATATATCCCAAATCAAGAAAGACAATAATGAATGACAAGACATGTACATCTTAGGTGCTGATGTATAAAGATATCTCCGATATCATGTTAAGGGAGAAAAAAGTAGCCAGTCTTAGAACAGTGTGACTGCGTTTCAATTCATGTCAAATAGCGGAATAGGCAGCAAGCACTTTCAAAGCTCCCGAAGGCTACTGGTGCCCCACAGCTAGCAGTAGGCAGGGACACGTGGGGACAGGCTCCCACATGCTCATCTCTGTAGCCCTAAGTTATTTGGTTTTTGGTGTTTGCACAACGCTTTATTTTCAAATATGATAGCATAACATAAAGCAAGTGAAATTATTATCAAGATTTTAAAATCGTCGTAAAGTATAAATTTTCAGACCAAAGGAAAAAAAACCCATTAGAACAACTCACCTTGACATAATTAGATTTTTCTCCACACACGTTCATGCCATTTTATTTGATTTTATTAGCAATCTCTTTCAGAAGACCCTTGAGATCATTAAGCTTGAAAAGGGAAAAGAAATATGTTCTTAAGATGAATTTTCCAACATTCAATTTGAAATGATTGTTCTATGGCTTTTCCATAAAACAGAGATACACTGAAAGCAAATTCCAGACATTTAGATTAGGGAAGAATGAGAGCAGCACATGAAATTTCAAACCCTGTTTACTGCTTACTTTCTGAGATCATAGCACTAGAAATTTATAAACCAATTAGTAAACCAATTGATATTATCTTTACTCAAATGCCAATCACTAGTGGTTCCTTCACAGAAAAAAACAGATTGCAAGGATACAAAGGAGTGAGATGTAAAAATAAGAATATTACATAAAATATCATCAGATACTATTAGTTTTGCTTTGAGAAAGTATGATCCTGATAAAATTATATGAGATGATACTAATAAATCAAAATGTTTGTCAATGAAGTCTCCTCCCCAAACACACCCACAAATAGTTTAAACATCAAAACATGATTTAAATAAAAAGTAATAAGTAATAAAATTATTACTTATGCACATATGTTTCACAACTCTATTACACAAAATGTATGAAGTCATTTTAAATTACATGTCACATTAGTATTTTGATTAAAGTTCATAGTCAAAATGTTATTTCTTTTTTAGTTTTAGGTGGACACAATATCTTTATTTTTATGTGGTATTCAGGATCAAACCCAGCACCCCGCGCATGCCAGGCGAGCATGCTACCACTTGTGCCACATCCCCAGCCCCTCGTAATGTTATTTCTATACACCTGGCTTAGTAACTTGGTATACCATTCACTTAAAGAATCTCTCTTTAAGTTGGACTTATTTTCAGTAATAACCTCTTCTTTTACCTTAGAAAAAGAAGATGAAGAAAAACAAACCATAAGAACTAATGGATACCTGACAAAAAATAAAAATAAGATGGGGCACAGTAAGATCTCTATTTACATACTTAAGGTCAGTTGTAAGTAACTTTGTTTCTGAAATAATGAGATGGAGAAATTTTGTAATCCTATGGGAGATTTTGTTAATAGTGAATTGACTTTAATAAGCTGTTTAAAGCAGAGCAGAAGACTCCAAGAGCAAAATAAATGAAATGAGGAACAGAAAAACAGTTTTAAAAGAATCAACAAAACAAAGAGATTTTGGTGTGTTTTGTTTTGTCTTTTTAATTGATAAGCTTTCAGACTAAGAAAAAACTCATTTCCTATTGTGGTGGCATCTTGAATTCACACTTTCCATTTGAAGAACCAGGGGCTTCCTCAACCCAGACCCCATGCTAGAAAGAACAGTCAGCTCCCAGACCCAGAGCAATGGTCAACAGGCACATGGGACGTGAGGTGGACAAGAACCACAGAGCCTCTGCCGGCACACATAAGTCTCTCATGTCAGGAACTCCCTGGTGACAGGTCAGACAGCTATGCAATAGGCTGTCCCTGCAAGGGGCCCTCTGTGAACACTCCTCCAGCATCTCACCATTTCCTTTAGTGCAGGTTCCCAACCGTTCTGGTCTAGAGCCTCAGTTTAGCTTGGGGCTCTCAAGACACATACAATCTACCAAGACTGAATTAAGAAGCAACATAAGGACTGAGCAAACAATGGCAGACAAGGAGGCTGAATCGGTATCAAAAACCTTCTAAGGATGGGGCTGGGGCTCAGCAGTAGTGCACTTGCCTGGCATGGGTGAGGCACTGGGTTCGATTCTCAGCACCACATATAAATAAATAAAATAAAGAGCTATCAACAACTAGAAAAAAATTAAAAATTAAAAAAAATTCTAAGGAAGAAAAGCCCAGGAACAAATGGATTCATGAGTGAATCCTACTAGATATTCATACCAGCCCTTCTTAAACTCTTCCAAAAAAAATAGGAGAGATGAGTTTGAAGCTGGCATCACCCTGGCACCAAAGCCAGACAAAGACAACGGAAAAAAAAACTACAGATTCATATCCCTGGTAATAAAGACACAACAATCCTCAATAAAGTACTAGCAAACTAAATTCAAGAGCACACTGAAAGGATCATACACCCAGTGATATTTATGTCTGGGTTATAAGGATGATTCAACATATGAAAATTAATCAATGTGATGAACCACATTAACAGAAGGAAGGACAAAAACACATAATCAAGCTCAATAGATGAAGAAACAGTAGATGACAAATTTTGACATTCTTTCATGATAAAAACTCAACAAAATAGGCATAGAAGGAATTTACTGTGACACAATAAAAGAGATGCATATCTATATCTATTATCTATGTATCTACATAGAAACATACATTTCTCCAAAGACAGATGGAGAGACGTATCCATGATACGTCTCTCCATCTGTCTTTTCCTCTAAAATCTCAGGAAAAGCTTTTCCTCTAAAATCTCAAGGAAGACAAGGATGTCCACTCTCACCACTGCTATTCAAAATAATATTAGAAGTACTAGCCAGAGCAATCAGGCAAGAAAAAGAAATAAAAGGCATCCAAATCCATTTACAGGTGATATTATATGTAGACAACCCTAAGACTCTACCAAAAAAAGGCTGGAAATATTTAACAAATTCAATAAAATTTCAGGATACAAAATCACCATACAAAAACCAGTGGCATTTCTATACACTAAGAATTAACTGTCCAAAAGGGATATTAGGAAGATAATATCATTTACATGGTAACCAAAAGGATAAAACAACTAGGAGTTGACTTAATCAAAGCTAAGTTAGTGCACCAAATATTAAAATAACTGATGAAGAAAATTTTAAAGATACAAACAAATGGAAAAGCAACCCATGCTTATGGATTGGAAAAATAAATAGTGTTAAAATGTCCCTACTGTTCAAAGTATAGTTACAAAGCAATCCATATCAAAAGCCCAAAAGCATTTTTTAACAGAAATGGAGGAAAAGCCTGAAACTTGTATGGAACCACAAAAGACCCTAGGTAGCCAAGGCAATTCTGCCCAAGAACAAAGCCAGAGGCAACATTCTTTCTAATTCCAGCATACATTACAAAACTAATCAACACAGTATGGGACTGACATAAAAACAGACACATAAACCTAGAATAGAGAACCTAGAAAAACACCCATGTACTTGTAGCCGAAGGATCTTTGACAAGAAGACTAAGAAGGCAAAGAGGAGTCTCTTCACCAAATGATGTTGGGGAAACTGGGTATCTACAAGCAAAAGAATGAAATTGGGTTTAAAAAAAACAACTAAAAATAGATCAAAGAGTCAAATGAAGCATAAGACTTGAAATTGTAAAGCTCCAGGGAGAAAGCGTGGGGAGATCTCCACATCTTTTTTTCTGGGCAATGAGTTTTTGGGATACAGACCCAAAAGCACAGAACAAAAGGAAAAACAGACACGTGCATTACAGACAAGAGCTTCTTCACAGCACAAGAAAGTCAGCAAGAGGAAGGGCAGCATACAGGAAAAGGACATCTGCAAACCATGTGTCCATGAGTGGTAGCACCCGAAATCTGTAAGGAAATCCATGCACAAATGCAAATAACCCCGTGCAACAGACATGTCTTCAAACAAGCAATTTGAATGGCTGACAGGCATGTGAAAAGGTGCTCAAGCATCCCAAATCCCCAGAGGAAAGGCAAATCAAAACCACACGAGATGCCTCCTCACACCTGCAGGGTGGCTATCATCACAAAGACAGACATTGGAACGTGGAGAAGAGGAACCCCTTGTGCACTGTGGATGGGAACAGAAATTGTATCACTATATGGAGAACAGCATGGAAGTCCTTCAAAACATTAAAGACAGAACTACGTAGGATCCAGCAATCCCAGTTCTGGGTAAGTTTCCGAAAATTTGAAATCAGGGTTATGAAGACATGTCTGCATTACCAGGTCCATTACAGCATTATCTCAGCAATAACCAAAATCGTGAAACAACCTGTCAATTAGCAGGTCAAAGCATAAAGAAAGTGTGCTGGATGTGCACAATGCAGAACTCTTCAGCCTTTAAGGAAGGAAGGAAATGGCACCATCTGCAATAGCAGAGATGGAGCCAGGGAGCACTGTACCTGGTGAAATGAGCAAGACACAGGAAGATAAAGCCTACCTGATCTCACTCTCATGAGGAACCTAAAATATCAAACCCATAGAAGCAGAGAGTTGAAGGGAGGTTGCCAGGGCCTGGGGTCAGGGAAATGGGGCGATGTGGGTCCAACAGCATGAAGTTTAGTTATGCAAGATGCAGAAGTGCTACAGATCTGCTGGACGGCACGTGGACACTAGTTGCCAACACTCTATTGTGGATGTGAAATTTGCCGAGAGGCAGGCCTTACATTAAGTCTCCGCATACACACACACAAATAGTGATCATGAAAGAGCTGGATGGCGGTGATCATTTCACAAGGCACACATGCATCAAACAGCCAGCCATCTGCCTTAAATAGACACAATTTCTAGGTCAGTGACATCTCCATCAAACCGTTTTAAAAGAGAGCTAATTTAAAAGAAAAAAAGACTCCAAAACCTTGCTCAAGAAATAAAACATCAAAAGATGATCCTGAAACTATGGAAAGGAGGGGACTTTTGCTGTTCAGGGTGGGGGGACCGAGGAGGAAGTAAGAAAGGGGGCCAGGGCAACACGGGAGGAGGGGGAGAGGCAGCGAGGCAGCGAGACTCTGCGCTGTGCAGCTGAGGCTTCCTGGGATCAGCCTCCATTCTGCCCAGACCTAAGAGATGCCTGGTATAGAGAACCTAGAAACAAACCCATGTACTTTAGCTGAAGGAGGCAACCAGAGAAGGGCTGAGCTCCATCCAGGTGGATGCAGGGGGGGACAGCCTACCCCACGTCTTCAAGGTCTACAGAGATCCCTGGCTCAGGTGTTTATGGGGACAGCTTTCACTTCTCCGTGACTCCCCAGGTCACCACCACCACTATGACCCCCTGCTCAGACCCACCGCCCCCTGTGACCTCACAGGTTAGGGATCAAGTTCCACAAACAACCTGAGAGTCTGGGCAGCTGGTCCAGTGTCCCCAACACTCTCAACTCTCCCAACCCCAGGGCACTGGGTTTCTCAGAAGACCCGGACCATGTTCCTTTCTGGCACCCTCTGTCTATTCTGTGCATGTCCCAGAGGAGGGTCTGGATGAGGTGTGGCGTGGGGCAGCTTCATCACAATCCCTAAATTGGCTTTCCACCCAAATAAATCCATAAGTAAAGACAAAACGACTAACTAACACAGACAGTGTCTCTGCAAACACCAGGCCTGGACAAGTGCCTAGCACCTTGACAGCCCCACCGGATGGCCCAAGCCCTTCCCACGCAGCCTCGCTGTAACTCGGTGCCGGGGAAAGGAGCACCACAGGCACATTCCCCTTGGTGTTCAATCTCCCCAGAGCCTTCTTTTGCATGGAAGTAAAATTCAGCTTTCCACAGAGGCAAGTGGGTTTCCATATGCAATCATCCCAGTCTCTCCACATCCTTCCACCCCACTCCCCTGGCCACTGCTGTCCTTCCTCAGCTCTTAGAACAATCCTCACTTCTGTCCTAGATCTTCAGAGTTGCCCAACCCTGCTTCCTTCCCAGGCAAGCTGTTGCATGCCTGCCTGAATCTACAAGCATTGACATTACCATTTATTCCTACATGAGTCAACTTGAAAATGATCCCCCTATACCCAAACCGTTTAATAAAGGATTAATTCATAAAATTCAGGGGCCAGGTTTGAGACTCAGCCCAATGCCCGGTAGATAGCAAGTACTCAGCAAAACATTCTGTGCCGTGTGGTGCACATGCAGATATAGCAAATGACACACTTAAATATAAATGTGTGATGTGGAAAAATTCAGGTATTATAGAAGGTTCTATAAATGTAAATACCCAAACTTAGAATCCAATCTCCTATTCTGTCTTTCATGTGTTCTCTTGATAGTCTTCTCTACTCCTTCAAAACATGCAGAGCTTTGCTCTCCTCTCTCCTCTGACTGTAATCATGGGGCACATCCTGGCATGATCACCAGTGTACAGGTGCTCAGCTCTAATGACCTGGGGTCTTCCCAGACCCTCAGGAAACCCACGTGGCTACAACAAGACATGCAACGGTGTGACAGCAAGTCTCCAGGGATGGCCACCACCAGCCCACCCTCCTGTATGTACAGGCCACTCCCACACCAAGGGGACACATCTGTTCCTCCCTCACCTGACTCTGGTGACCCATGGCTGCTGGGACACTGTACTGGAAGGGATACCCTGCCGGTGCAGGCCTGGCCTCTGAAGCACAGGAGGCTTGCTTTCTCACTCTTAGAAGCCAGGCTGGCAGGTCCCTCCCAGTAAGCAGGGGGCTGCTCCAGGACCCCATGCTGTGGCATAGCCAGCCACATGGAGACCTCAGCAAATGGGACACCATGTGGTGGGTACCAGCTTCTGGCCTGGCCATCGGCTGACCCAGCCCAGTAAACCCAGCTGGGACCACAGGAAGCAGAATGCCCAGCTGAGCCCTTCTCGAGTTCCTGACCCACAGCTCCATGAGGAAAATGCTTGTCTGAAGCCACACCACGATAGGCTAATCAGGTGTTGTGCGGCAGTGGACAACCAGATGGTGACCAATGCGTTCAGCGGTCAGCACCACACCTCACCGTGGCCTGAGAAGTTACCCCAACACAGAGGCCCTTCCAGGGGAGGGAGCAAGAGGAACTGCACCAGGCTCAGAGCACCACCACGCAGGTCTTGGAGGTGCCCCAAGGGGGCCACAGGAGAGGCCCATGAACAGCCCTGAGTGTTTAAAGGGTGGGAAGCTACACAGATCAGTCAACAAGGATCACGAACAGAGAGTTCTCCAGATGAGCTGGGCCACGGCGCTTCTTCATCATCCATTCCACAAACACTACCGAGCCCCTATGTGAACAGGTTACCGGGTGCTGGGGGTCCTGCCAAACCAGATGGGTATCGTCAGCTCTCAAACGGCACAACACCGTGCGAGTACATAGATGTCACCATCCAAGATGCCATTTTCAAAGCACCAGAGTAAAATACCCTAAATCTCCCCCTCAGAGCCTGGCAGGGATCCTGCACTCAGGACTCGACTCCAGCTCCTGCTGAGGCTGAGCCCGGCCGGCTGCCGCCAGTGTGTCCCTGCGTGTGCCCGCGGGCGGGCTGGCAGGTCCCTCCCAGTCAGGTAGGTAAGGAGGCAGACTGGGGGCAAAGCTCCTTCCAGATGCTCCTGGGGCTTCCCTGGAGTGGCCTACATCTCCTCCACATCAGAGAGAGGAAGATGGAGACGCACACCATCTCGGAGCTCCTGAAAGCAGCACTCAGAACTTCTCTCCGTGGGGTCCGGGAGCAGGAGCCGCCATTCCCCAGCCACAGCCCCCAGCTCTACCCAGTGAGTGGAGACAGCTGAGCATGAAATAGTTGCATCTGATTTTTTAAAAAAAATAATTAACTTCTTTTGTTTTCTGACCACTGCCTCTAGTTGAAAATCCCAAGATATTAAAGATTAAAAAAAAAAAAAAAGCCCAGCTCCCAAACTACAAATAGAGCCGTACCTTTGTATCCAGCTGTTTAAACCGATGCCTCATCCTAGGAAATGAGAAAAGGAGAGGAGTGAGAGAGAGAAAGGCTCCTCGGCCTGTGGGAGTCTTTCCAAGGACAGGGACCGGAGCTTGTTCATCTTCAGCTCCATTCAGGGTCCACTGCATTTACCTTTTAAAATTCCTTCCTAATACCCAAACGAGTCAGAATTCCTTCCTCACCCCAATCAGAAGGACAGCAAATGAATGCTGTTCCTGATGTTGTCTGCTCCGAGTTCCACACCCAAGATCTCAGAGTCCAGCACCTCCAGGCGCCCACCTTGCTGTTCAGAAGAGCGAGCTGCCCTTGCCTCCTGAGCTGTGTTCAACCTGACCAAGGGACTAGTTGTGCTTGTATTTATTCACACTTTGTTAGAGCAAATTTGAGGCATGTTCTCAACTCTTGGGAAGAGTGGCAGCTGTCGGGGAAGACAGCTGACCTTCATAAGCAGAGCATGCTTCTGTGGACACACACACTCTGTGCACACCTACAGTCTGAGCTGAGGCTTATCTAGGAGATGTGTAGTGACCGTGTGTGTGGATCTCACGGACATCCATAACAACTGCCTACAATTCAAAAATGATGTTCAGGACTTTTCAGGGACACCTTGTATCAGATCAACCAAACGTTTCCATTTTGTAATCTCTGTACTTCTGCATCTCAGAGATAAACAGGTGAGTTGTCCCTGTAAGATAATGCCAATTGCCCGAGTTCTTCCTGGAAGCAATTTCTGCAGGCCTGGCTCTTGGTACCTGGTTCCATGCTCCAAATACCTCTTTCTCCCCCAGGGCCCTGAAGGACAATCAGGATAGCCAGGCAGGGGGTGGATAATATTTTATGGGTGCTATTGCTTCTCAGTCAAGCTTTTCTGAGCCTTACAGAGCATGCTCACATAAGCTGCCTGCATCCCTCCAGCTTACGTATACAAAAGGGGCCTTGCAGATCGGAAATGAGTGACAGACATACTCCTCCGAAGTGTCGTTGGCCTTCGTGTTGATCTTGACCAGATAATTCTCCTTCATGACACCCTCCCAGGCCAAAGTTTCATTGTCCTCATTTCTGAAACCTTGAATAATAAGAAGAGAAAAATGTTTGAATTGTTCCATTTCCTCTTGCTTCCTAATCAACACCTGCTAAGCATTTTGGGAGGCTCTGGAACCAGGAGGATTAGATGTGTTCTGCACCAGCCGACTGGTGACTGCTACTTACTAGCCGCGGCAGCAGAGCAATAGGGATGATGTGTTGGTAACACTGAGGAATTGGCGCTGCCTGCATGAAGTGAGAATGCCATCTATAGTCTAAGTGGGAATCTGCTCAGACACTGTCTCTGTGTTTTGTGACTCAGCAAAATCATCCCACTGATGAATTTGGTTCTCCTCTTCCATTTTGATGACATTACAACACTCAACCACTCAGTTGAATAATTAATAGTGCTCACTAATTCTCAACCTAAAAACAGGGTAGGAGCTTTGAGGGAGAGGAACATAAGCGCCTGGCACTGTTCCTGTCCTCCAAAGCATGCAGTCCGGGAGTGGTCCTCAAAGAAACCCCTTACCTCTGGCCTTTCCCTGTAAGCCAGGGTATGCTGCCAAACTGGCCTGGGACAAGTCCCCATAAGACTCTTAGTTCAATTTGTTGAGGTGCCTGAGCCTTTCAGATGTCAGCCAAACGTGCCACCCAGGTTTTAGGTACCGTGCCACAATGGACATCAAAGCTCCTCGTAAACTCATGGGTTCAGGAAGCACAGGTTTGTGCAGGTGGCCACTTGGATTTATGTAGGTTTTACTTTTAACTTACCACTTAAAGGTATTAATTCTCACGTTAGAGTTCAGGGATTATAATATCTTTCTGGATTGAAATAGAATTAATTAGGGCCAAAGAAAGGATCACTATGCAAGTGGCTGGACTTAAGCAAATCCTCCACAGCAAATTCATTTCTAGATGCTGATTACTCACTTTACAAAGTCATTCTTACCCAATTTTTCTTCAATTGTATTTTTCCTAGCAAAGTAGTTGGCAATGTCATTTCTTCAAACTAGAGTCTATGCAGGAGCCCAACAGAAGTACTTAAAAATCAACCCAGAAAGGTTCAAGGCTCCTGACCACGGGTGGGCAGAGAACAGGAATGACAAATGACCAACCTCTTTAACAGAGAAACGCTAGCTGGCCTGAGGACATAGCATTTTCTCTGATCCCACTGCAAAATTAGCAGGGCCTAAAATATTGACTACGTGCTGTGTTGGCAAGGATGTGGAGAAGCTGGCCACCCACAGGATGGAAAAGTCTGTCACTACTATAGCCTTTGGGGTGATGGGATGAGAAGCTGGAGGTGGGACAGGCAAGGCACAAGCTTGAAAGTATGCATATTCTTTATCTGGAAATTTCTTTTCTAGAAATGATTTCTAAAACTGGTTCTATAAATCATTATTTCTAGAGTTACTCTAGAAAAAAAAACATTAATGATGTGCAAAGAAAATTAATGATGTGCTGGGAAATTATTGCATAAAATCCTTTATCATAATATCATATGCTAATAAGAGTCAAAACAACCTACATGTTTAACAACCAGGGATTGGTTAAATTAATTATATAGCCATACACTGGAATGTTCCACAGTTCACAATTATTATATATTTTAAATTTATGGATATTGAAAACGCTTACAATGTAATGTTAGTAAATAAACAAATTCAATTAGAGTGCATATGCATAGAATAACTCAATAATTACATATCCACATGAGAGTAATAGAATAAATGCCAGAATGCTGAAAATATTGATCTCTGAATGGGGGACTACATGTGCCCTTGATCTGTACTTGTGATTTTCTGTATTTTCCAAATGTTCTGTAATGAATATGGATTGCTATCTTAATCACAAAAAAATATATATTTTATAGAAATGCAATTACTGAGTAGCATACTTTTTATTACTTGAAAGTGTTCCCAAACCTGAAAGTTTGGATTCAGCCTTCCTGAAAGTTATTGGACAAATCTTGCACTTTCCTCCAAAGAAGGGCCATTTCAAAATTAAACCAAGACTTCCCCATCATCTGGAGGCAAATGCAAAGTACGTTTAGGAAGAGGACTGCCAACAGGCAGCTCTGGCAATGGCAGAATGCTGTGGTTTCTGGAATCTCCGAGAAGCAAGTGAGCAGGCAGGACCAGGCAGCCTGAGCGTCTCTAGCAGCACACTGGCTCTCCATCCTCACTGGCCATTGTGGTGGAGAGGACCCTGGCCTGCTCTGGACTCCCCTTCCCTCTATCTCTTTGCTCCCTCCTGAGAATAAGATCCGTTGGAAGAAGCAGAATGCCCGCAGCTCACAAAGGTGCTCCACTTACTGTGCGGTCACACTCCCCTGGGGCTCGTCACAGGACGGACCACGTCAACATCGGCCATTTCTGGCCCATCTGTTTGCTTCCTTGAGCTGAAGCTCTGTCCCACTTGGGGCCAGTTGGGGGACGTGATTCCACACTGCGCTCACATGGCGCTTAAGCCCTGGACACGCATGGGGGAAGGCAGTGCTCTCTCAACCTGGCCCGAATCTGGGGTCTCCTTCCACACTGATTTCCCTGGTTCCCCGGATCCTGGGCTGAGTGCTGTGGACCTGTGGAGAATGGACTTACTCCCCTAGAGCCCTTCTGCCCACCTCTGCCCCCTGAATCCCGGTGCTGGGGGTCCCTTCACTGCCTCGCGGGGCCGCTCGTCCAGTTTCCGGACAGCGCGGGACGCAGCCACTGCTTTCTCTTCACACTGAGTCAAGATCACCGCCACCGCCACCTGCATCTCTGTTTTCTATTTGAATTCACTGAGGAAAACAAATGAAAGAAACTCACTAAGCCTTCCCACGGCAGGGGTCGGTCCCCTCAGTCTTCTCCCGGGTCCTACGGATGCTCGTCTACGAAATGGTTTCGAGACAGAGCCACATCAGCCCAGGGAATGTCATTACGTGCCCCAGCGACTTGGTCCTAGTGCCCTGAGATCCCAGACCAGGACTTCCAATGCCCACGTCTCAGCGAAGACTCCTCCTTCTTTTATCGGGAAGTGACTCACTTTGCTTTCTGAGGCAAAATTAGAGGAAGAGAGAGCGATTTCTCCAAACTGTCAGCACACCTTCCTACAGAAAGGCAACTTCCTGTGGTCACAGTAAAGGACATCCCCTGAGATACAGCTGGAGCCTTGATAATGCTGCTATGAGAGGTGACCGTGACACTGGAGAGCGTGATGGGTACACTGACATTCCGGAAGCCTGTCTGTAGGGGGTCAGAGCTCGGGGGATAGCCTGAAATACGTTAGACCAATGTTAAGGCCATATTTACGTACATCTGGCCTCTATTTCTACGTAAACAAAAACTACAAAAAAATTATGGTTCTTGGCAAGTTCAATTTTTCTTAATTGTCATCAGTCATCATGTTTAGGTTAGTAAAATTCATATTTTTACTTTCTGCTCAATATGGAACATGAACCCCAGGGAGGGCAGCTAGCGATCATTTTGCCTAACACTGAGGAAGGGACAGGACCCGACACGTCCAGCAGCCACTGGACACGCACACCTAGCGGCAGGAACAAGTCAGCAGTGGGAGGAACTCTAGCTCACCCGGCAAAAAGCCAAGAGGAGGAAAGAACACGCTGACCATGTCCCTCCAGGGGCTTAGACTGGATTCTCCCTTAGATTTCCACCGTCCAGACTGCCCTCAGCTGAGGTGGGAAATACCGTCAGGTCACATGCAGGTGCAAACATGTGGCAACAAATCCACCATTATATATAACCATTATCACCAATAAAAACATGGAAAAAAACTGTCCTCAACTCCTGTTTTTTCCCATTATAATGAAGACCAGTACTCCGGGGGAGGAAAGATCTTAAGATCTGCCCCCTCCACTCTTCAGGGGCTACTCTCCCCAGGTCACAAGAACGAGCATCGGGAACTCAGAGGCAGAATGTCCCCTGGTGATGGTGACAGCCCCAGAGCAGGCCTGCAGGTCCTCTGCTCACGTCACCTGAAGAGAGCAGGCCCAGTCACCACCAGGTTTTGGAAGCCACACTCCATGACCCTGTCACCGTCTCTAGCTGTGTCTCTTGTCTACATTTTTTCCTCTGGGATCCACATTCTGCGGATCCAAGTTGGTGCATTTCCATGGCATCCGCGGCGCCCGCAGGTCCTGCCCAGGGAGGCCTTTCCAATGATGGAAATAAAACCGATCTTCAATCTACTCATGGGAACAGTGGACTTCAGAGGTGGGCAAAGGGCAGCGAGCTGAGAATGGAGCGAGAGGAAAGAGCTATTCCTTTCGCAGGCTGGGCGTGTGAGGACTCGGAGGGACCGCGGGCCCCCTGCTGGGTGCTCAAGCCCAGGGGCCTGTGGCACTGCACCTTCCTTCAGGCTGGCTCCCAGGTGGCACCGTCGGGAGGTGGAGGGACAGCTGAGCAGAGAGATGGAGGAAGCTCCTCTTGAGGGGGTGTGCACCCCAGTCTCAGGCGCTGTTTCCTGGTTCACCACGTAAGTGGTCCTCTCCACCACACGGTCCCTGCAGAGCCACCCAGGGCCCTGGACAGAGGCCCAAAGCCGTGGGGCTGCCCCATCTTGACTGGACCCACCACCACGAGATGATTAAAGCTTTTTAGGTTCAGCCTCAGGCATTCAGAGTGACAGGAAGCCAGTGGGGAGGGGCAGCCACTGCCTGGTCACACCTGAAGGTGAGGGACAGCCCTCGGACGTGGCCTACAGGGGAGTCTGGAGGGGTCCGGGGGAGCGGGCAATTCTGGTGGGTGTTCAGAAAACCAGAGTGGTGTGGACAGACAGTGGGCAGCGCAGACAGAGCTTCACATGGGAGGGGGACTGTCCTGGGACGGGCTAGAGGCCACCCTGTTACACCACGGCAAAGACTCTGCGTGTTTGTCTTCCCCTGGGACTTCGAGGGGGGCCACACCTGGAAGGGATGGACTGGCTCAGCCGGGGAGGATGCACTCAGGCTGCAGCATGGACATTCCGGCTGCTTTCAGCCAAACTTCGAGCCAGAATCAGGAACAAAAAGGAACAGAGCAGAAAGACCTGGGAATTTTGCAAGGCGGCCAGGAAAGAATAGCAAAAGGCTCTCCAGGTACAGCCAACGAGGGCTCGGCTGGCGAAGAGACCAGTGCCAAAGAAGCCAGGGCCCGGTGCCCCAGGTCCAGCCAGCAAGACCCTCAGAGCTAGGCAGCACTGTTGGGAGGTGGGGACACCTCTGATAGGTGGGGCCTAGGTCACTGGGAACTCGCCCTTCAAGGGGATGACCATGGGACCCGTCTCTGAATCACTCCTGCTTCCTGGCTCGTGATGTAAGGCATTTGTTCCACCATGTGCTCCTTGCCATTGCCACCCAGTGCCCCCCCCCCAGGCCCAAAGTAATGGAGTCACCCAATCTTGGAATGGAACCTCCAAAACTGTGAGCTACATAAACCTTTCTTCTTCATAAGTTAATTGCCTCAGGTAGTTCATTACAGTGATGGAAAGCTGACAAAGATAAGCAACCCAAAAAGTCATGCACCCTGCTGAAGTCAGGGCTATGAATTTCGTGTACCAATGAAATGCAAAACCAAAGTCACAGTTTGATACTGTCCCATGAATTCTGCCAGTTCAATATCCTATTTAGTCAGTTCAATTGTTTTACCTATTTAATTAACATACTATTTATGTTATGATTATGTCTGTCCAAAAGTTATTCCCCCAAAATAAGGCTACCCTGCAGATCTATAATGCCTTCCCCATCTTCCCATGCCTCATCTTTAGAGATGTGCTGATGTGAGTGGGGAACTGAGAATCCCTCCTGTTGTGATGTGGACCCCACATCTCCCCCCTGAGTCCCTCGCTGAACCCAAGCCCTGAGGCTGAGCCACTCACAGCAGGCGGAGGATCCCACGCTCCTCTCCTTGCAGCAGCACTTGAAGCACTTCTTCACCACCATGTAGAAGTAGGCAAAGACGACGAAGGGGAAGGGGATGTTGAGGCGGCTGCAGTACTCCTGCACCAGGAAGTACCTCTGGAACTTCCAGACCTGGTCATTGTTCTCCTGGACGGTGCCCACCGTGTAGCTGGCCGGAGGGGGAAGGCAAGTCAGTGTCGGCACGTGTCCACCACCCCGAACCCCGTAACAGTGACGTTAAGCAACTCCCACCACTAGCCGAAGCCCAGACGGGACCCAGTCCACGCTGACACGAGGACCAGGTGACCTGCCTCCAGGCCACCTTCAGCCCACGCTGGCCCAAGAGGGTCTAGCTGTTGCTTTGTTCTTTGCTAATCACAAAAACATGTCCAGTGAACTTTGAAATCATTTTAACTTCAAGATACTTCAAGGATTCTCTTTTTCCCCTTGTTTGCTATGGTGTTAGCTGAAGAGGCCCAGAATGTCGACCCCTTAGGAAGAATCTGCCCCCCTTAAACATGCTTAATGCAAGCCGTCTGGAGAAAGGGTTCGCAAGTATTTATCAAAACTGTTAAAAATGGCCTTCCCTTTGACCCAGGGACTTGGCTTCTGGGAATTTAACCTAAGAAGGAGATACTGAGGAAAAAACATGACCATGGCTAGACACACACGGGGTATTGGCCACGGCACTGCAGGTGACCGCTGTCCTCGTCCCTGACCAGCAGAAATGGACCACCTGATGTTAACAGTAAGACAATATATTGTGAGATAAGCTTATCAATAGGAAAGGTAGCAGAATACAACAGTCACTAATATGGCATTATGTAAAAATGTGGATGTGTAACCGATGTGATTCTGCAATTTGTATTTGGGGTAAAAATGGGAGTTCATAACTCACGTGAATCAAATGTATGAAAGATGATATGTCAAGAGCTTTGTAATGTTTTGAACAACCAATAAAAAAAAATAAGATTCTTCAAGCAGCTTTGAAGATCGTGTTTATAGAGCTGCTTGCACAATTCATGTAAGGGACAATAACTAGCCTTGAACTAGTTCTTACCACCTGATCTATGAAAATCACACACAGGGAGAAAGGGGCCTGTCCCCAGTCAGGGTCATCTCCAGCACTAGCTCTGGTATCCTTTCTCCTCTTTTCTGCTTTCCAAGTGTCTTACAATCAGTGTGAATCACTATAAAAACGCCTAGTGTATGTTCTAACCCCAAACTGACAATACCAATTGAATTGAATCAAAACTATAAAATAGGTAACAGGATACACTAGGACTCAGCAATCAATTAAATTAATTGATTTAATCTACAAATAACTCTATAGCGTCATCTACAACTGACAGGTCAGGGAACTGAGGCTCAGCTGGGCACGAAAACTGTCTGAACCCCCAGCAAGGGGTTGAGACCAGCCATCCAGCCCAGTGTCTTTTCTGCCTCAGCAGAGTGAAACATGAAATGTTTTAATAGCTTTGCTATATTTTTTTAAAAAAAGGGTTTGAGCTATACTCTATTTCAAAATAATCAGATTGGATCACTTAGCTTTTTTCATAACTACAAAGCATTTTACTATCTGTGCCAAGTGCCTCTTAACCATGGTGAGATCTTTAAGGGTAAGGAGTTTGTGTTTATTGAACACCTACTATGTGAAAGCTCCTATACCTGGCCTATAAAATGGTCACTTGACTGATCTTCCCACCAACCTTATGTGGTAGATTTTTTTAGGTGGAAGACAGACAGTTCCGTGCTCTGTCATAGCACAGCACACTGAATCCAAGAGTCAGCCTTGCACTTCTTCCAAATGTAGGTCAGGCTGCTTGGAAGCTAATACCAAGCTGCGCTACCCACCTTCTCTGGTTCTGATGCCCACAAAGGACACCGTGTACTGCTGCTGCTGCTGCTGCAGTAAAACAGATCCATGGCACCTCCCAAGTTAATGACATCCAGCCTAAGAACTTTCTAGAAATCACAGTTTCAGACTTTGTGCCAAACAACTGGCCCAAGTTATTGTCCCTAAAAACATCTTGAAATTTGACCTATCTTGTCCAGAATGGATTATACTGACTGCCCAAACACCAACGCACATGAAAAAGGTCTGCATCTGCTTCGATGGGTCAGTTGCTGTCTGCAGAGGTTTTATCTGAAAGAAATTCACAAGTCCGGCTGAAGGGAGGCACGTTTTCTGCAGCTTCCAGTAGGACCCTGGCCTCTCTGGCAGGTGGGCCTCCCTCCCTTTCTTAGGGCTCAGAATAGAGTGGCTACCAGGAAGGGCCACACAGGAAGAGACGGTGCTATGGCTTACCTGGTCACTGGGGGTCGGTTAAAACATTGGGCACCCTCTAGATCTGCAGGAGGAGGGGTTGGCAAACTGTAACCAGGGTCCAGTCCAGCCCCTCACCTGTTTTTTTTTACCATCCTTGAGTTAAGAATGGCCAAGAGGAGTAGAGGGACCAAATGGGTGCAAGTTCACGGGGCACTGCTTCTTTGGGTGCTTGGAACAAAGCAGAGACCCCAGCTGCCCAGACAGAGCAGGTCTGCACCCCTGACCCAGGGCCTGAAAAACATGGCTTTGTGTTTGTTTCATTCTCCATTTGAAAGAGCTCTGCCTCACGTGTCACTGGGTCATTTCTTCCTTGGGAGAAACCTCCAAGGACATCTTGTTGTAACAGCAGCTTCCTCGGCACCTCAGGGGAACGTGTAGATTCCAGGACCAGCACCCTTTCCCCACATAAATGGTAACAACCTGCTTCGGCTTCCCACTGGGCAAGGGTGAGCTAGCAGAGGCCTGGATGTCAATCCCAAGAGCGTCTCTGCTCAAACCCCACGGGCCCTAGTTGGCCATGCGGAAGCTGGCCTAGACACTGAGGTCCACCTTCCCTGTAGGAAGGCAGCTTCCACAGGCCCCAGTCAGTTCCAGCTGGAGCCACATAGAACAGGGTCCCCCTGGGGTGGCTGATAGTTGGGCACTGCTTTGCTAAAGTACTTTATATATTGTTTAGCCATTATGTCATACCTGTAGAGGACAAAGGGTACTCACAGAGAAGGACTTTCTGGTGCCAGCACGTGCACACCGCACCCCAGGGCCACACACGTGTAAGAGTGGCCTAGGGACCAGCCACACCCAGGGTCTCACCACCCTATGGATGGTTCCCGTCTCTCCTCCAACCGCTCACCCCAGCCTGCCATTTTCCCTTCAATGCCACATGTCCATGGTGCCTGTGACCTTGAGCGTCCTGCCCCTGGTAACCCTTCTGTTGGCTGGAGGTGAGCAGAGATGACCAAAGTCAACTGCTGAGACCAGCTGAGCAGCCCCAGCTGAGCAGGGCAGGAAGAGGAAGCGAAAAACCCACAGAAGGCCAAATTTTTAGAAATCCACTGAGCCTGGAAATGTCCCTAACAGATAACAGACATTTAGAATTCAGAGAGCCTTGTGCACAACGAAACCCAGAAGTATGTTAAAAGAATAATATGCCGTGACCACAGGGTGGAAAGATGACTAAATATTCAGAACAGTTCTATGATTTATCATTTGTATAATACATCATAATACTAGACCAACAGGAAAATATGATCCCAAGCTGCTAGAAAGTCTTCTGGCCATGCCCAACATCCTTTTCTGATTAGGAAAAAGAGAAGAAGAAAGGAGCTTAATAAATAGGGAATAAGAAGAAACTTCCAGAATGTGATAAAAAGAAAAGAAAAAAGAGACAGTTCAGGAAGAAGACTTGTTCTAAAAGAAATAAGCAAAACGTTAATAGCCCTCCTACGCATCAGAAAGTAGCCATTGGAAAAAACATAATAGCAATTCTGTTCACAACCATAAAGGGCTGGAAATAAATCAACAAAACTCTGCCAGACCCACAAGAAACCCAGGTGACTTTCCTGAGAACTGTATATAGTTGAATACAAAGAGAACAACTATTTTCTCTAGATAGTAAGGCCAACTTCTCCTAAATAATTATAAAAAGTCAGCATC